TATTATTATATATATATATATATATATATATATATATATATAAGGTAAATGAATCATGAACGAATGCATTTGTTGAAGGAAATCAGTATTTAGATAACGTTCAACTACTGCAGAAGACGATTGCTAGTTCGTCAATTAACTTTTAACGTTACATTCAGTCGTAAATGAGATTTTTTTCTTTTTTAACCAATAATAGTATCATTTAAATTATTTTTTTATAAATAATAAGAAATATTTTACACTGATGAAATAGATATTGTATTATAATTCTATTTTTATCTCCTAAAATGTTTAATAGTGTTTAATTTTAACAAAATTTATTTTTTGTATACATTAGATATTACGAAGAATTTATATGAAATAAAATATTGCAAATTATTATAATCACATGATTTAAAAAATATTCTGTGATAATTGCATAAGTGACAGGATGTCTGACAGTAAAATTGAAGTTGATCCCTTCAGTGAAACAACACTGGAATTCCAAAGTTGTGAAGGTAAAATTATCAATATTATTCGAAACTGATTTATAAAATTATTATTAATTTAAATATTATTTAGTTCATAAATTTATGTAATTTCTAAAAGAATATTTATTGTATAATATATTTCAAAAAATAATTTGTATGTTTAAATTATTTAAGTACGTAATTTATTGCATTAATTAAAAATAATTTAATAGAATTATGTAATTATTGAATATAAAATATTTATGATTATCAATATATTGTAAAATTTCATTAATTTATATAACATTAATGTGGTGTTAATAATGTTAAATCTTTTATTTTATTTTAATATTATTTATTGCTATTATTTAAAATCGAAAATAAATATTAAATTAAATAAAATTAAAAAATTATAATTATAATATTTTTAATCAGAATTTTATATATAATTCAAAAATTATATATATTATTTTATCCTAATCTCAAATTTTAATATTTGAAGGAGTTATAGAAACAATTATACAATCAAATACAAAGGAAGAATCACAGAATATAACAAATGAATTAACATATGCAGAACCTTTAACAGCAGAACAAATACGATGGTTTTATAGAGATGGTGTAGATAAGAGATGGGTAGAATTCTGTGGATATGATAGCTTAAGAATTGAAAATGCTTGGCAAAGTTATCAACATTTGTTTAATAAGATAGTGATGTAACTAATAATGCACTTCCTATTGAAAAAATTGTAGTTAGAGGAGGAATGTATGATGTGGAGCTAGATAAGATGAAATGTGTTTCTATATATTGTCCAGGTATATATTTTATTAAATTTCAATTTCATAATTTTACTGAATATAATTTAACAAAATAAAAATGAATATAAATTAATTAAAAATTAATTAAAAATATTATTTGTTCCTTTACTAAATGAATTATAAATTTCTTTATTGTATATGATTCATTTAATTTAACTAATGATTTTTTTATGAGAGCATTATTATGTTCACTATAGAAACTGATTGATTTGTCCTTGAGTTTATTGTATATTGAGTTTATTGTAACCTATTATATTTAACCATGATTAATATAACTGAAACACCATAGACTGAATATTATATGTTTTATTATTTCAATATTTGTTTCAATTTTTACATATTTCATATATAAAAAATTTCATGCAAATATTTTAATATTTTAATCTTTCTATTTTTAAATTAAATTAAAAATATTTGTAATTTATTATATAATGATAAATAATATATATTATTATTATTTGTATAATTTTATTAAATTTTATTAAATAATAAATGTAATTATTAATTTTATTTGAAGGTGAAGAATGGGAAATTATGAGAGGAACTTGGTATTATGATGGTAGTTGGTTACCTTTAGAAACAGAACAATCTAAAATTATAGAAGAAGTTCATCTTAATCTTTTTCAAAAACAATTATCTGATCAAGCTACTTCAACATATGATACATCTCATTCTTATAAAAGTATACATTTGAATTAAATTTTAATTTTTTTTTATTTTTTATTTATCATAATTTAATTAGGAATTTTTTTTATTTCAGTATTACATACTGAAAATTTTCCTGAATTTCATGTTGATTGGCATAGTATAAATGATGTGGTATTATATAGTGAATATAGACATAGTAAACTAATGCGTAGTGTGACATCAAAACTGGGTTTTGCAAAAAGTAAGTATTTTAAAAGTATATCTTTATAACAATTATTATTATATTATTTATAATATATAATAATATATAATATATAATAAATATTTTAGCAACCGGATATCAATTAAAAAGAGGATATAAAATTCTTGCTGTAAAAGAAGATAAACCTCATGACATTGATCATATAATATTTGTAGTTCATGGAATTGGTCAAAAAAGAGATACTGGAAAAATCATTCGTAATACAACATTGTATGTAATATATATAACATTTAATATAAATATATGAAAGTTTTTAAAAATTAATCTATTACATTTGATATTTATAACAGATTTAGAGATTGTGTAGATTGGTTGAAACAAAAATATTTTCCCAACTCAAATTATAGAGTAGAATTTTTTCCTGTTGAATGGCGATCTTCATTAAAACTTGATGGTGGTAAGAAATTATTGAGTAAATTATACAATTATCTTGTAGCATTTATCTGTTTTTAATTAATAAGTTTTATATTTTTTATCTTATATAATCAAAATTTTTAGGTATAGTAGAAGCTATTACACCTTTTAGTGTAGTAAGCATACGACATTTATTAAACACATCAGCAATGGATATTCTTTATTATACAAGTCCTCTTTATGGAGGAGAAGTAAGAGCTGGATTACAAAAAGAATTAAATAGATTATACTTAATGTTTGCTAGTCGTCATCCAGGTTGGAAAGGAAAAGTTTCAATTCTAGCACATTCATTGGGATGTGTAATTGTTTATGATATTGTCACAGGTTGGATGGGTCCAGATACAAGACCTCCATCTCCAGAAACACAAGAAGTTTTAAAACAACGATTACAATTTCCAGTAAGTGTCACTAAACATATATTGTTTTATAATATTCTAAATGATAAAGAATGAATTGATATGATCTAATATTAAAAAAATTATAAAAATTAAATATTTTTATAATTTCAGATAGAAAATTTATTTTGTTTGGGTTCTCCATTATCAGTATTCTTGCATTACGTACACCTTCTCTATCCAACAAAACTGATGTGATGCCTCAAGATTTATGCAAAAGATTTTATAATATATTTCATTGGTCTGATCCTGTAGCTTATAGAATGGAACCACTTCTCGAAAGGGAATACAGCAAAATTGAACCTGTTCTTATTCCATCATATGGAGGAGTTGATGGTCAACAAACAGAACAATCACCTCCAACAATAAATAATTCTGACCAAAATTTTTCTCCTACAGGTATTTTTTATATTATTTTTTATATTATATTAGTTTTTTAAAATTTTTAAATTATTTTTAAAATTTTTGAAGAAAATAAAATATAATATCTATATTATTTTAAATATTTATATAACAGATAATGATGAAAGAGAAGATAATTCAGTAGATATATCTAATCGCACACCAGATAAAGGTTGGAGTCTCTGGGGCTTAGTCCGAGCGGGTTGGAATGTTAAAGAAGGTGTTTCTACACCTATTCAACCAGGACAAGGTAATGATATTATATTAATTTTTTATTTAGTAGTGATGAAAATTATATAATAAAATATATAATGTAAAATATTTTTCTTTATTATTAGAATTAACACAACGATTGGATTATGTACTTCGAGCAAGTTTAGGAAGAAATTATTTTTACACATTAGCAGCACATACAACATATTGGAGCAATTATGATGTAGCTTATTTTGTGCTAACAAGACTTTTTCCAGCACTAGAAACATGATGTTGGTTAGTACATTTAGAATTAAATCAATTAGATATTATTAAAATTTACTAGTCCATAATAGGCCAGTAAAACTTAATATTGGAAGTAGGCCTACCACCAAAACAATCTGTGATAATAAGAAAAACAATACAATAATGTTATAGATTCTACATAATCATTTTATACCGTTCGTATAATTTAAGATTAATATAGTCGAGTTTCACAAAAACTCAAATGTAATTTTACATATTTTATAAGATAACTCATTTATATACAGTATAATATAATTAATTAATAATTATTAAATATAATTAATGATAATTAGTTAAATAATTTTATCTTATTTGTATTTAAATTTTTTATCAAATTTTTTGTTTTTTATTAAAAGAATAAATTAAATTGAATTAAAAAGATGAATAATTATATTAAATACATTATAAATATAATTAATGTGAAATATTTAATTAAATTATTACAAATTGAACATTATATTATCAAAAATCTGTATTATATGAGATATCTTATATTATTGAAAAATTATTTTTTTTTTACTTATTTTTCAGTAAAAAAAGAAGAAAATAATATTATAACATACATTATATTATAACTTTAAAAAATTCATTATTATTATAATAATCTAAGATAATAGTTTATAATATAAAGTTTATAAATTCATTTTTATATTATATATTAATATAATTTTCTTTTGTTTTTAAAAATTAATATTAATACCAAATTACAATTTTATGTTATATTTTGTAATATTTTATAACATTTATTTTATAATATATATGTTTTTTGTTAGTAGACAGTGTGAATTACTTTTCAAAAGTTTTGTAACATATTTAAATAACTTTATGTTAAAATAATTATGGCAATATAATTCATTTACACTGAACAACGTTGGACGTTTGTATATATTAAATACAATATGTCTTTTTTAATTGGAAATGTTTGAAACTATGAAAAAATACAAAAAATATGAAAAAAATGTTTCTGATAAAAGTTGTTGGTAAAAAAATATATTGTATTTTCTTACATGTATTTATATTATATAATATAAATAGTTTAAATATGTAAAAATTATATAAAAATTAATTTTAATTTTTTAAATAGAACTATATAATTGCATCAATCGATATAGCTCATTATTTTCTATAATACTAAACTATTAAAATTGAAAAATCTTAACTTAGGAGATATTTTAATTTGAAATTTGTAAAAAAATCATAAACAATAAAATATCCTTATATTAGATGGTAAAATTTATGAACTTCAAGTTCAATATCTCTTAAATTAGTGATTTTTCAATAAATGAATTAATATTTTTTTATAGAAAAATAATTGATTGGTACATTAAAAAATATATAATTTTATTAAAAAATTAAATTTATGTGATTTTTACATCAATATATAAAAAAATTAATATATAATTAAATTAATAATATTATAATGCAATTATAATATTATAATTTTTTATATAATTTTTATCTGAAATATTTTTTCATATTATTTGTATTTTTCTAGACATTTGAGCATTTCTATTTAAACAGAACATACATTGATGTCATGTTTAACATAAATATATTAAATATTTTTTTTTCTTAAATGTTAATCTTTTATTTTATTGTGAAAAGTGAAACTCGTCATATATGCTGAAAGTTTATTTTAAATAAGATAAAAAATTGTATTAATTATATCAACTAAAATCATTGTGTAAAACAAACAAAATGATATTAATTATATTTTTGTTATTTTATTAATAGAAATGATTAATAAAAAATGATTAGAAATGATGAATAAAAGAATGATTATCTTTTTATATCATATAATTAAATTTATCATTAAAATAAAGAAAACATTTTTTCATAATACTGTTATATTATAAATACTATTTTTATGATAATTATATTATGTTTTAGAATTTTTTTCTTTAATTTTATTGAATATATAAATTTTTCTAATATTTTCATTATATCATTTTGTTTGTTTCATAAATAAAAGAAACATATATTTTATATGTTATATATAATCTTATGTATTATCATATATAAAATTTGAATTGTAATATATTATTATACTTTTTCTATTAGATGTTAAAAATTTAAAGTACATTTGTTATAGTTAAGTTTTAAAATTTATTTTATCAATGTATTTAAATTTTGTTGATATATTTCATTCATATTATATATAAAAAATATTTACATATTATTATATATGTAAATGTGTTCACTCTATAATATTATAAATTTATCAGTTTTTAGAAATTTTAATAATGATGCACTTTTGAATGTTATGTAATAATAAATTTTTAAAAAGCTTTATCTACAACACACAATTTGGTAGCATGACAATAATATTCATTATTTCAGAGATAAATATCATATTAAGTTTTAAGAAATAAAGCACATAATAGATACATAGAAAAGATCTCTGAATTAATAGTGCAATTATTAAATGAGATATCTAAATTAAAATTAAAATATCAATAATAAAGCATGTACATTCTTTTAATGAAAAAATTTTAAATTTAACATTTCAATACAATATTTAATATCAAACTTATACACACCGCGCGCGCGCACACATACACATATGACGCACGCAATGCCAAAGTTATTAGAATAAAAAATATATAATTAAGATTTATTCAATTTTTAGATATTTATCCATTAAATATATATATATATAAATATATAATGATATATTTATATATTAAACATTTTTTTTAAAATAAAAAAAGATTTTATTTATTCTTACAATTTAAAATCTAATCACAATATGTAATTATTTTGTTAGTTATAACAATATAAATTATTTTAACTATATATGAATATTTTATGTGAATAATTTATTTTAAAATATTCTTTATATAATTTTGAATTTATTCTTTTTATCCTAAGTATTAAAAATTAGTAAATTAAATTAAAAAATATTATAAAAATTTTATTAATAATATTACAATATTTAATTATTTCAATAATATATTTTTATTAAATAATATTAAAAAACATAAAGAAGTGATAATTTTGTAATGAATCTTTAAACAAATTTAATTTTTTTATATGCATATGTATGTAATACTTTTTAATAAACTAATCTAATTCTTTTTAATAAACTATATATTTCAATTAAATATATCGACTATGTATATGTAGATATAAAAACATATACTGCAATAAAATATATATATTTTTCCTTTTATATTATACTAAAGATTAAAATTATTATATAATATCATATTGTAATAAATGTATAATTACATGACATTATTTAGTTATATCAAAGCTAGTAAAACATATTTATTATATGAAATATAAAAAACAAAATATATATATTATAATTTTAAAATAATGAGATTTAAATAATTTGATTTTTTTTTAAATTATTTTGAAAATTGATTACTTTAAAAATTAATTAATTAAAAAATTGAAAATATTTAACCAATAATAAAATTAATGTATACACACGTAATCATACGAGTAAAGCATTATTTATATATATCTGTATAGATATATATATATATATATATATATATATAGAATAATCACAGAGTATTAGTATTAAATTCACGATTTGATTTCATTTTTAATCATTTTATACTTTGAATTTACATATAAAAGTATGTTATGTCATTACTAACGGTTAAATAGTAAAGTCAAATTTATAATGGAAACTGTATTTAATATAGTATATACATATCAGTTATTTGCTAGACATATTAACCTGCCGGTGTACAATGTCGTTATATATATCTGTATAGATATATATATATATATATATATATATATAGAATAATCACAGAGTATTAGTATTAAATTCACGATTTGATTTCATTTTTAATCATTTTATACTTTGAATTTACATATAAAAGTATGTTATGTCATTACTAACGGTTAAATAGTAAAGTCAAATTTATAATGGAAACTGTATTTAATATAGTATATACATATCAGTTATTTGCTAGACATATTAACCTGCCGGTGTACAATGTCGTTTCTTTGAAGTGTAATTAATATTTTAAAGAAAAAAAAATGTTTTTATATTCATAAATTAAACGAAAATATTGTTTTTTTATTGAGATAATAAAATGTTTGTTCTATGGAAGTGTATTAATGAATGATAAATGTAGAGAATTGATGAGAATTGATTAATTCTTCAATATAATTTATAATAAAAGATACAAAAAATAACGGTATTATAACTTTTTTATTCGTATATTATTATTTTGTATATTTTATTCATATATATATTATTCATTTAATAAAATAAAAACTATTTTACATATTATATTTACAGCATAATGCATAATAATTTAATTGCTGCCGCCATCGGTGTAACCGTTGGTGTAATAAGTGCAGCTAGTATTTTTATTTATCGTAAAATTTTGGCAAATCAACAGTATAGTACAACAATTTCTGATTTAGATGCTGCCAATAAAAAAATTGATGAGTTACAATCAGAATTAGAAGCATTAAGGTAACTATATAATTTCATATAAAATATTGATATAAGTATTTTTTTTAGTTTATATTATTATTATTATTTTATAAAATTAATAACTATCTTGTTATATATTGTTTTTTTATTTTATTTAAGATTACAATTAAGACAACAAAAAAAGAAAAAAAAAATTTCAAGAAAATTTAGTTCTAATGATAGTACATATACTGTAATAGATAATGATACAGATATTGATATTGGAGATGATGAATTCTATGATTGTTCTGATGGTGAAAGTGTTGTTAGCGATAATGATTTAAGGTTAGTATAATTATATAAATATATGTAATGTAAGTATGTTAAATTTATATGAGTAACACGTATGAGGATTTATAATTTATTCTAGTAAAAATGTGAATCTACTTCCTGAAGAAACATCTTAAGAATATTCAAATTATACTATTTAATTCATGATTTAAGCATGATTATTTATATTAATTTGGAAAGTTAGAATTTGATCATTTTGGCAAATAAAGTTATTTTAAAAATGTAAAAGGAAGAGATTATATGTTCAGTAATATAGGATCTCAGAGGAACTGAACCAGCTGGATATAATACTTAAGGAGATTGATGAACAAGTAAACAATGAATTTGATGTCAAGACTTACTACACATTGAAAACATTGGTAAAGTCCC